GCGAGTGGCAGCCCCCAGGAGATGGTTTTGGGGGTCAAAGCCAGGACCCCCATCTCCGCTCGAAGCATAACACCAGTGCCTGGTTTTGAGGCGGTGCTGAGGGAGTCACTTGCTTCATGGCTGGTTATGATCCCTCCTCAACGCTCCCTTCTGCCGGCATTAACGACCCGCTCTCCGTTTTCAACGGTCTCGACATTCCATGACTCAAGCAGATCGTTTCTCTGCGGCTCCTGGTTACGTAGCTCTGATTTCACAGCCCTGCGGATTGTGTCGACCTCCTTCCAGTGAAGCTGTGTGCAGCCTTTCGACATGCGGCGTTTCAAGTTACAACGTTTCAACGTACAACGAACGAACAGCACTTCCGACGTTTATAAACTGACGCTCCATTTCGACTTTCTGACATCAGTTTCGGCTTTACCTTCGCGACGTCGCCCATCCCCCTGGAGAACATCTGTCCAAACTGCCTTGGATGCCCTCTTTAAGAAAGCAGACAAGACTCCCGAAAAACCTGCAGCCAGGACTCCTGAGAAGCCTCCAGCCAAGAGTCCTTTAAAACAACCAGCCAAGTCACCTCAAAAATCCTTCCAAATCCATACAATTGCTACTTACAACATAAATACATTCATGTAATGTAGCTATAATTGATCGAGTACAAAATTCTGGGTTATTTTTGGAGAAAATCAGGTATCAGGCCTTGGTTCAGGAACCGATCCCCCATTTATAACACCATTTCCTATAGGAAAATTGGTTTTGAGTGTCAATGTTTCAATTTAAGACACTGTTTTCAGGAACCAATTGTGTCGTAAGCCTGAGGACTGCCTGTATTTGTTTTCATTTTGATATTCAACTGAATACAGGCGGTCCTTGACTTCACGATGTTTGCATTACAACGGATGGCACTCAACAACATCTATAAATTGACACCCTGTTTTTTTGACTTTCCAACGTTGGTTTCGACTTTATGGCACTCAATCCGACGCGATGCCGGTGGGAAAAACCGGTGCTAAGTGACGACATTTCAGCTGAAGACATTTTCAGGAACCAATTGTGTCCTAAGTCCAAGGACAGCCTGTAATACAAACTGAGGTCCCTCGCGTATGCATAGAGCTTCTGGTTGCTTTTTAGCAGGAGAAAAGTATGTGCGGTGTCACGGGATGGTGCACCACACCAGCCACACCCCACTTTTCAAAATCCTCAATCTGCCCCAGGTGATGCCCTCGACCGTTAATTTCTCTCGGACGCGCTGTTTGCTTTGCTGGTGGAGGCTGGCTGCTGTCCTGGCTGACGCTAGCTGCATTTCAGCAACGTTGCATATAGGAAGACTGTAAAGCCGCTGAGGATGTTGGTGAAAAGCTCTGTACATCTAAGGTACACGTGCCTGTATTTCATTATACTGAGCTTTGTAGCGTCTGCAGCAAGAAAGGGGAACGCACTCTGACAGGTGTCCTTTGTTACTGGGAAGTGTGCGACTCCTTTGTTCTCTGCTTCCCTTCAGCACACGTCTTTCAGCCTTCAGTTTTTTGCCAGTAAAACAATGTCACTGCCCGTGTCTGGGAATTGCTGCAGTGCAATCTTGTTCATTCGAACCAGAGGCTGTTCCCAGATGTAGGTGCTCACAACACTTTCCAGCTCATTGTGGACGATGTACTGGCCTAAGACCAGGGAAATCTTAGCAACCTATAAAATATTGAATAAAAGAGGGGTGTGGCTTACCTACATTCTCAGATGGTGATGACAGTGTATTTCACAGGAGCATAAATGCTAGAGATTGAAGGAAAATCAGGTACCATCCAGTATATCTCCCTGTAAACAATCATGTTATTGCTGATATTCTTGCTATATGCTGCAGCTATTCTGTAGACAGTCACTGGGTATGATCTAATGTTACCGAAACCTTACAGATGCAACCTTGTGATTTCCTTGAGCTAATGTTATCTGGCTTGTAAATTGTTTGAAAGGCAGCTATTATGCTACAGAATTACATATTTTAAAGCCACTTAGAACTGGGTTTATAAACTCCAGTTTCCCAGCTCCTCTATATTGTCAAAGTCTCTGTATGTTAAATACATTTAAGTATACCTTAATCTTAATACCTTAATATTTAAGTATACCGTAATCTTTAAGATGTAGTGACTTCTACAAAACATATCAAATTAAAAAGTCTAGCACTGGATCCGTCTTTTGAGAGTTTGGAATGAAAGGAAATATACTTCCTTTTCCACCTGTTCTTGCTATCTCTCCATGTTATAATTCAAACATTTCTCAGTTGATTTTGCTCAGACTTTTGAAGATGCAGACTTTTAGGGCAAATGGAAGCACATAAGATTTCAGCCCCAAACAGTGTATTTGGGAAAAGAATGAGATGCTGTCAGGGTATGGCTTTGGGGGAAGCTTGTTATGGAGAGGAAAGGTTTGCATTCAGCCCTAGGTGGGCTGGGTGCTTTCTCCCCTCACTCTCACTTTAACATACACAGTTCTCTTTCCCTAGAGTGGCAAGTAAAATAACCATTGCCTTTAATTGTATTATATTGCTTGCTACAATCTGTATTACCATAATAGCATTTACTGCTGTCCTAAAGGAGGGGAAGCTGGAAGGTTCCCAAACCCAAGCAACAGAAATGAGTCAGCAGATGCTCTGTTGTTCAGGGTCCAATGTGACTCAGCATTGGCTAGAGGCTATCTTTCTGTATGATTATTTCTCTGCACCATTTACCTTGTTTGACCATGTCTGCAGCTCCAGTGTTGCCATCTCTTTCTCTATTGCTACATCATTTTCTTCTCCAAACTTGCAAGGGAAATCTTGGAACACAACCAATAACACCCCCCCTCCCCCAAATGCAAGTCCAAAAGATTATTTGTGCTTCATGGTAATGCACTTTGCAAGTGAAATATACTGGTAGACTCTTACTGAAGCTGGAGCATATCTCCATGCTGTGAGCAATGCAGGAGATTAAAAGACTGGATACTGCTGGTTATTGCTCGGAGTCACAGAACCAGAGTCATGCGTTTAGGCAAACAATTAATAAATGGTCTGTAAATTGTATAGTGTTACCCAGAGCTCTATGTTTTATTGGCTTGTGTACATGAGACTTATTTTTAAAGGCATGGTACCTCGCCAGTGCTGGTGGAGAGAAAAAGGAGAGGCAGGTTTTTGCTTATGCTGTGGATCTGTATTCTTTGCTCCATTTGCTGGTTCCCCCGTTTTATCTGCACCATCACAAGTTCTATGCCCTTGAGCAAGTATCTGTCCTTCTCTGCCTCAGTTTCTTCATGTATTAAAAGTGATAGCATCATTTACTTGACAAGGGTATTGCGAGGTTGCGTGAATTAACATTTTTTAATCTTTGCTGTCTTCAGAGCCTGGTGGCACATGACATTCCTTGTGTAGTTTAGCTTTTGGTCCCACAAAATCCATATATATTTGTCTAGGGTGTGTCTAAAGCCAACACGTGTGTCTGGGAGATAATGGATGCTGTATCTTGTATCAGAGTTTGGGATCTATTTCCTGAGCTGTCCATAAGGAACAAAATCATTTATGTCTAACATCATAAGGCCCTGTGGACACGTTATAGGAAACAGAGCTCCTTGCTTTATATATGGATAACATACCAGTGGGGATACAACATTGTGAAGGGGTTACACTCGGGAAAAGGAAACCAAAAGTACAGGTATTTATTCCAAGCTCTGGCTTCCAGACATATTTAGGCAAGCTTCTCATTTAATTGTTTACCAGGTTTCTAATATGTGAAGATGGCACCTACCTTCTTGAAAGGTGTTTTAAAGAGGCTACAATGAAGATGCAAGGTTGTGTTGATGGTAGGGAAAAAGCTTGGGGGAAGGGGAGTATTTTTTTGCATGTTCACTCAGATATGGTAACTGGCCAGTGTTAAAATGGTAACATGGACAAATCAGTTGTAATTTTAATGTGGTTAAAATTTTTTTCTTTTAAAATATTATTCAAAATAATTATTCCACCCACACAGGGATTAAACTTAATAACTCATTGTATTACCTTTAAATGGGAAACAAAGCCTGGGAGCTGTCACTTGAGATATTCATACAATGTGCCAGTATTTCTTTGCCATTGACCCAGGGGTGGGCAAAATGCGGCCTGCCGGCCAAATGCAGCCCACCAGGCCATTCTACCTGGCCCACAGGGCCCCTAAAAAATTTAGAAAATTAATATTTATCTGCCCCTGGTTGCCTGTCATGCGGCCCTCAATGGCTTGCCAAAACTCAGTAAGCAGTCCTCCGCCCAAAATAATTGCCCACCCCTGCATTAACCAATGTAGTCATTGTTCATCTTTAAGTTAGGCAATGAACCATGAAAGAAATTCTCTGCAATCTTACACATGCAGGGGTCAAATAACTAGTAATTGTGCCACCTGCATATAGAAACACAACATACGGCCTCTGTAGGGAATATAGTTTTTCTCTGAAAATACCATTGGGCATTGGTTCTACATTCTAGAGTCTCATTCTTGTGATTTAGCTCCTTAGTGTAAGACTGGAGATGTGTTGCATGTGTTACTCTTGGGGGTAGTAGTAGATTAAAACACAAGTCAGGCTGGCCAGTGCTGTCTACTGAATGTCCCAGCTTGTCCCCTCAAACAAGCGTGGTGAAGTTTTCAGATTCAAGTTTTTCAACTTAAATAAAAATATATGTGTGGGGAAAAAATAAAGCCAGGATTCAAAGAAAGACTAAAAATAAATAAACCTTCACATCTGAAGGGAGGTAGATGAGTGAGTGACTGGAGAACCTTGCCAGCTAATATCTTTGGGAAGCAGACTTGCAAGGTGAGCTATTCCCATTTCTCTACAGATAACATCTGTGCAGGGGTTTTACTTCTGGAGAGAGAGAAGGTTGAGGAATGTGACAAAAGGAAGTGGAAGCACAGCAGCAAGGACCAGCCGTACAGCTAATACCAATCACGTAAAAGAGATTTTTTTCTTTATAGGTATAAAAGAGGATTAAGATGCCAGCCACTTTCCTCCTGAAGATGCATAATGTCTCCCATGGTAAGCATCTTAAGCTTTTGTTTGACTACACAATTATTCATTCTCTTTGGTTCAGATGGTCCAGACCCTTGTCTTTCTGACTGTTAAGAACCTGCAAAAAACTCCAAACTCTTTCCTATTCCACACTCAGATCTGAATTATAATAGTCTTCTGAGGTTCTCTGAGTTTCTTCCTTTTTTACATATGGGAGAAACTGAAGCAGAAGCGGTAAGTGATTTGCCTAAGGCCACATGGCAAATCAGCGCTGGAGCCAGAAGTTGGCTGTAAAAGCTCCTAGCTCTCAGTCATGAACCCAGCCTACCATGCAATGCTGCACGTAACTGTTTCAGACTCCAGATGTGATGGCCTAGATCATGACCTCTACCTTCTTGATTCTGGACCTTGACGAATTTTAGTTTTCCAGCTCTGTACGAGAAGGTACATATTTAACACTTGAAGAGAGAAGGTAATTTGGGGCAAGCAGTATAAAAGTCATTGGCATTTATGCAGACAGGACTATGGGACAAGGTGGCTGTGTTTACTTGTAAGCTGTGGTCTCTTCCTTGAGACTTGGCATTGAGGCACCCTAGTAAGGAAACCGGGTGACCAGGGTGATCCATATTCTGAGTTTGCTTCACACCTTCATCTGACTGATATGATACAGTCTCTCATTTTCCTGATCCAGATCTTTTTATGACTTGGCCTCATTTTCTTTTCTGTCTGAAGTGCGCATGACAAGCACCAAAGAGAAATCAGTAAGGATGACCCGAACATTTCTTTTGCCTTTAGGGAAACATTTTCCTGATTTAGTGCTGATGTTGCTATCACCAGTTTTTCTCTGTCTCAGTTGCTAAATTCTGCAGAGGTACCTGCAGGCTAGGCTCAGCTGATTTTCTTGCTAGACAATCACATTTCTTTTCTAACTCTCTTGTATATTATTTATTAATTTCAGGCTTTTGCATGCTGTACTATGTGGTTTGGGATTTCACGCCAGGCAAAATGGACTGTCTCCTTCCATCCCATTCAACAGTTGGGAGGGTCAGGAATTTCCAGGACACAAATTCTGAGAGACCTCTGTAGAAATAACAGCTCAAATCAAGTCTCTCTAAAATTACTATTCACAGATCATCCCTAAGAGCAGCTTTTAAAAAATTTCGGCTAAAGGTAGTGCATATGCTTTTTTCCCCCCAAAAGACGAGGATGAAAGTGTAGTTAAAAACCAAGGATGGAAGCATTAGTATAACCCAGACTCTTTTGTGTGTTAGCATATTAGCTTCTGGGAGGAGCTGATATGAGTAAGTAGTCCACAACCGCCCGATTCCCTTCCTACGTACAAATCCCTTAAGGGAGAGATCATCATGAAGTCAAAGTTCTGCATGGTGCACTTGGTGGGGGGGGTGCAAACGAAACGTTATTATAACTGTCCCCTTCACCTTTGATGCTCTGGGCTGCTCTAAATTCCATCAGCACCTACACTGTTAGCAGCACTACTAGTTGATATCATACCCCAACACTATTCAGCCATGCTCTGCATATCAGACAGAAAGAAACAGACCTTCACTAAGAAGGAAATGAAAAAGAGCCTTGCTGATATCAGCTTTAATGACATAAAGGCGAAATGAAGCTAGTGAGATGCTGTCGCATGAGGAATTTGGGAAGAGATTGTGATTTGTGAGCTCCTCAGGCTCTGTGGTATACACATACTGTATTATTTGGGCTGGACTCAATGGTCTTCTGAGGTCCCTTTCAGCCCTAATGTCTATGAAATCCTTTTGGATGGAGGAGACTGCTTTCCAGGAATACTTGCCTAAGGCTGTGGCAAGAGTGGGTCCATGTCCACCCTTCTGCTATTTCCAGATTTGCACCTTCTTGATGCTAAAATGGTTAATCACAATATCATGGGCAAATTCCAGTTTGCAAATTAAGCATTTATTGCATCTCCCAACTGGCAGAGGCAACCACCTTTCAGTGATGGGGAAAGTGATTTGTATTTGTGCGGTGAACTCAATGAGAGAATGAAATCTGTAAATCCCTTTGGGATCTATCTGGAGGAAATCACTATCTAAATGCATGATCCTCGTGGATGTTGTCATTCTGATACCCCTACTACAGGATGACACTAACCCACTTTTAGTTCTGTGTTTTCTTGAGTCTGTGATGTGAAATTGGATTGTTTGTATTATTCTAAGGTCTGTTTTTATTTTAACTGTATTTCGCCCACTAGAATCTATATTCTCCACCTTCGCAGACCAAATGTTTTCTATCATTGTACCTTGTTTCTTCAGGTTCTAGACAATTGGCACTGTCTGTATCCTGTCCAACAAACCTTAGAGAAGTACCGTGTTATCATGGGCTTCTGTTCTTGAGATTCAGCATGCATTGCTGAAACTCCAGTCCGTAGATGGTATAGTGCATTTCAGAGGGAAATTTCTGCTGAAACTTCCCCGTGCTTTGCAGACTAAAAGGAGAATTAGAGAATTGCTGTTTGTGATCTGCACCCTTTATGTGCTGCATGGTGATGAGCTCTTTTAAGCCATAATAAAAGAAGGAATGATCAGAGGAAGACTTCATAGGGAGGAAAAGATCCAGGAATCTTTAATGTGATAAAAAATGTCTGCACATTCATAATAGGGAAGTCTGAAGGAAATGCATTCCATAAAACCAACTTCTCTGCTGATTGTACTAAAATACCCATAATCTTAGAATCTGCCTGGCTAGGCATCACGTGCCATGGAGGCAGATGGGAGCCAGTCATGGCAGTAGAATATATACACCTATTTCCTGCATCTCTTTCATGCCAAAAGTTGTATGAGACCTTCAAATTCTCCCTGACCTAAATCAGAGGCAGCTTGTAAAAGAAATTAAATTTAAAATAGGGAAGAAGAATTGCTCAAAACATTGCAGACGACTCAAGTTCATTATAGCCTTGCTATTTATGACCATAGCACATACAGGTCATGGGCAAGATTAAAGCCCCACTGTGCACAGCCTTTGACCACACACATAGATATGTCCAGTCCCCTCCCACGCTCCATGCAATTAAGACATGGCAACAAAGTGAAACGCAGCCACCTTGCAAGTTTCCCTGTCCTTTTCAAAATGAAGGGAGCCAAAAGCACAGGGGAATTCTGGGATGTTATGAGTGGAGAATGGATCCTGAGAGATTTCATGGGTAAATCAAAGAACTTCAGGCTGCTGGCCTGAGAGGCAAGCTTCTCAGGGTTTTTCAGTAAAACATACAGAGTCTCAGGAATTTCTGAATTAAACTGGAACGCAGAGGGGGGAGGAAGTGCTCCACTGAAGGTGCCATCCATCCTAACACAGGCCCAGTGTTTGAGTACAAAGGCAGAGATTGAGGTGAAAATGTAGTTGAGGTTTTACATTTCTTTAAGAAGCAGGTATTTTGTGGGGCTCCTATGTTGAGCAGCGATGTCTGCAGCTGCTTGACAACCTGTAGTTCCTTGCAGCTTTTGGAATGGTTTGGGAGCGTCTGCATTGCAGCACATTGGATGGTTTGGGGTGTTTGCAGCAGAAGGATCTGTGTAGCTAACAGCAAAGTGCAGCATCAAGGGGCAAAAGGCTTCAGGTATGAGGCTAATGCAAGTGGCCTATAGCCAGCAAGGTGATAAAAGAAAGGGTTGGGGTTTGTACTGCCATCATGGGAGAAATAATATAGGGACACCTATAGCTGTTAGTGTGAAAAAGGAGAAGGGTTTTTGTTCCTGAATGTGGGTGTGAAATAGATTCAGAAACCTGCACAAGACATTGGGGCATCAGCCCCAAGCAGCAAACAAGAGGCAATACAATATGAGAAAATCCAAGGGCCACAAAGGAAATAAAAAGTCCCACTGGATCCAGAGGGCTAAATTCCCTTCTCCCTTCCCTCCTAAGTTTTATGATAGTTTAACCCTATTGAATTCAGAGGGGTTATTTTAAATGGAATATGTTAGGCCCAGAAATACCCAGTTTTCCTCAGATTACTCCTTCCCCTTTCACATTGTCTAAAGTAGCTTCAGAGTTTTGGGGCTTTTTTTCCTAGTTGACCGGGGACTCCAGACATGGTCTCTAAGGTGTTTACTGGCTTGGAAATGGCTTCTCCTTTAAAAAAAAAGAAATTCAATGAATCTGCACATTTTTGCTTTCAGTTGACCCAAAAAGAAAAAAAAAAGCCAGGGCTAGTCCATCTCCCTCAGATGAGAGAGGGAGGGAGAAAAATCTCTTTTTGCTGGAGATTGGGTGTGTCGCCTGCCCTTCCCCCTTCAGTGCTTCTCTGTGTATTTATAGTGGTCAGACTCTGACTCTGGCAGGACTCTGACATCAAAGGTGCTCAGCAAAAAAAACCCCGATCCACTAATTAAGATTCACAAGCAGTGACTCCTTCTTTCTTTCATTCCCCTTCTCTTTTCCTCTCCCTCACTCTTTCTCTCTCCTCCCTTCTGATGGCTGCAGCCCCCTACAGCTGAGTCAGTTCTTCCTCTCTTCCACAGCATTGCAGCACCTCAGCAGAAAGCAGCATCCTTTCACTCCTCCCTCTCTGTGCATCTCTCCTACAGCAGCCTCTCTGCTCCCCACCTCATCACCATGGCCAGTACTGTGTCAGGTAGGACCAGCATCATTTTTATTTTTTAATCATCCTTTCTAAAATGAACACTGGTATTACTTATCATTGTTTCCAGCCTGGGTTTTACCTGCATGCTAGGGGGAGTTGCCAAAAGGCAGACCACAGCATTGTCTTTTTTGTTTTTCTTTTGATGCATGATCTTTTTTCTTTTTACCTGCAGTCATAGCTGTTAAATGTACCTGTTTAAATACGTGCCAAGATGCTGCTTCTGAATTATTTTTTTGTCGCACTCTATAGGTTTTTAAAAAAAAAGAAAAATCCTCTGTTCATTTTTGGATGCTGAGGTGGGGGGTGGAGCTGGGAATTATATTTTGGCATTGGTAAAAAACAGCTGTAGTCAAATATGCTAGAAGAGAAAGAGAGATGAGCAAGAAATTGATAAAGATGCTGTAAAAAGAATCCAGCTGGGGGGGTTGTGTGCATTTTTCAGAGCCTGGCATCCATCAGAATACACTGCTTCATTGGAAGGTGCGGTCCTCTGGTGTCGAGAGAAATCCAGTGCTGCAAGGAAAGCCCTTCCTTCTTTCTGCAGTAATAATGGGAATAACAGTACGACTGCATCTTGGTCTCCCAGGTTGGGCAGGACAGGGCTTTGGGGATCAGATTTGCCTGCAGTGTCAGGCTGCGGTGAGCCTGCTGTGCCCTTTCTGTGGAACTGTTCCTAACGATGGGTCTTGCAGCATCTTACAGGGGAGGCGAGGAGGAAGGAGGGATTCAGATACATGGAACTGGGGGCTTAGTGAGGGAGAAAAAAAACGCTTCTGTGGACTTATGTCTGAAAAATAGATACTCATGGAGAGTCTTTAAAAAAATAACCCCACCCCACCCCATTGAAATAGCTCAGTTGCTCCTTATGCTGCATTAAAGAAAGTCTAAGTTCGAAAGGGTTGGGACTTGGATCTGAATAAGAATGGAGGAGGAAAAGGAAAGGTGTGTTCTCTTCTGGACCCCCTCCCACTCAGTGAGGCAGCTGAAAGAAAGAGTAGCCTTTCTTTCTGCATTCACTGCCTTCTCTCTTGGCAACCATGGTGCAATTTTCTATTCTTTTTTCTTTTTGAAAGCCCAGCAAGGGCAATAGAAGAAATGAAAAGCGATACAGGGCTGGCAAGGGGAAGGAGGAAGCTGTTGTTTCAAAGCAAGTTTTACATGCAATTAGGGAACTGCAATGAACCATTAATAAAAATGTTTCTCCTTACCATGGAAAATCTGTGGCATGCATGCGTGTGTGTCTGTAAACTCCCTTATTTCAATGTGTGTGTGCTGGGTATATTCTGAAGGTCCCACCCATCCATTTTACTTTCCTTCCTACAAAATGGGCTCTGGTCTGATTTGCAAAATCGGGGGAGCTCAGTTTCAGCAATCGTCTATACCAAGGTTACATTGCACTTGACACAAAAGAGGTGGTGGATGTGACATGCATAAGCACCAGGAGCCTTTTCCATATGGTGCTTTCTCTTCCTCCCCACCCACCAAGCCTGTGTGGTGTATTGCACCTTCCAGAAGACATTGCTTTTTACTGTCAAAGGAATCGCAGAGCCATGAACACAGGTGGGCTGCAGAGAGGCAGTTTTAATCTCTGCTCTCCCTTTTGGCTCAGATCAAGCATAGAATTGATTTCAAAGAGGACAGGTGTCAAGGGACAGCAGTGCTGTAGCAGAAGGAGAGCAGAGAATAGGGAAATGTAGGCAGATGACAGAGCAAGGCTGAGCCTCGCCCCTCACTGTGTAGGGAGTGGCTGTCTGTTAGGTTTTGCACATATAATAGGAATAGAGAGATCAGGCTGCAAAAGGAAGAGAAAGAAGCAAGCAGAATGTATAAATGAAAGAATAAAGTCTCTTTCCTTTCTTCTTTCTCCTTTGTTTTGCCTTTTATCCCCAATAAAAACAGAACAGTACTGGAGAGAAAGCAGCTGTAATTGTCTGCAGTGGATGCCCAGGGGCTTGTCTCCTTAGGGGAGATTTTCTTGGGTCTGTTTAAATGAAAAAGAATCCAGTCCTCCTTGCCGTGCCCCAGCAGTAGGTCTCCATTTCCCACCAGCTACCCCAGGCATCTTCTGTTAGCCAACATTATGATTTTTTTCCTGATAAAGCAGTGGAAGCAGCAGCACATGCTCAGTGCAGACTCAGCTGCAGTGATAGCCATGCTATGCCGACAGACCTGCAGAGGTAGAGCCTGCACGCATCCTTATGGAGTCCCTTAGTCTAAACCACACCTTTTCGTACACCCCAAAATCAGAGTCTCTGTGGACTCTGAAGGACTATGCATCTGTGCCCAGGCACTTACTACTGAAAGGCCACTTGGACAAATGAACAGAGGAAGGAATATTGGTGACCTTTCCTAGCAATTATAAAATGGTGCAGAATGGTAAAAGCCTCAGGAAATCTTTTTTTTTCCTGGTATGTGATCACATCTAATGCGGTGGAGCCAAAGGGAACCATCATGGTCTCTTTTGGTTGCATGCACAAGTATGCAGCCCGTGGTACAAGTGGTCCTGGCAAATCCCAGAAGGGTCTCCTCACTGGATGGATGTTGGCAGCACATGGTTTTGTGTGGCTCTGATGAATTCCCCCTGATCTCTTCTTTTGGACTATCTCGGGGGACACCATGGCAAACACGCCTGTTGTTTGTGTTTAACATGAATGTAGCAGTAATACTTGGAGGTCCTAGTTCTCCCTGTTTGTCTGGTCTTTTCATTTCCCTCTCCATCTCTAAGGTATCACTTTAATTTATTTTTCTTTAAATATTTATTTTGATACCTGTATTTACCTTGGGGAAATTCTGCTACATCTAAGAGGACTTCAGTTTTACAAACCTTGAGAGTACAGACCAGCTCTCCTTTGGTTGGCACACAGTTGAGCAGCTGAGACTCTCTTTGCCCCCTGCTCTGGGCTGTCTAATGGCTGGGACAGAGTTGGCCAATGCCAAATCTGTTTATGTTTTTAATGAAGTTAATACATTCTCCTTGTGCAGAGGAAAAAGTGTGGACTCACTGGTATTATGTGGCCACAGGGGAATCTCTCTGAATTCTGCTTCTGAAAAGTAAATGTGGGACCTGTGTGGCATTGATGTAGAGTCCCAAATGAGGGAAAGAGGAGTCTGCAGACCTCTGCTAGTCTGAAAGGCCATGAGAAATGGTCAGTGGATTGTAGTAGGTCCTGCACACTTTTATAATGTTTTTAATTGAAGTTCAATGAGAAGTGGGCATGATGGTCTGCAAGAAACTTGAAAGTTGACCATGATCCATTTGGTTTGGAAGGTTCGGGAACCTTAGGCATTGGCAGTGGCCTGCTGGCTATGTCCCCTTGGAGTGGGGAAAAGACACAAAGGAGTTTTGATTCCCCATTCTTGTCCCACAGGCTCAGATTGGGCTAGACCAGGGAGGATTCAACTAATGGCCAGGACTTCAGCTGTGATCTGGGAGCACAGAAGGGCTTCCCCATTGTATAGATAGAAAAGTAAGCTCCAAAGAGACTAAGTAACTTGTCCAAATCACAGAGAGATTCTGTGACTGAGCAAGGAATTGGACCTGGGTGGCTAACACCTTGACTCTTGGACCAGCCTTCCTCTCCTCTGGCTCCCCATCTCAGCTGCAGCTGGCCAGAGTCTATGGGCCAGGTTCTACCAGGCCCACCTCACCACACTTGGACATCTTGATTTTCTTCCTGAAGCTCCCCACTCAGAGCCTCTTTTTCTGTCACCGACTCCCTGCAAATGGAGGCCTCAATCTTCACCTCCCAACTCCTCTTTCATTGGCAGATTCTAGGTTTCCCATTGACTCAACTGCTGCATCCATCCCACACAGTCCACCAGACCTGGGCCTCAGAGCTACTGCCCTTCCTCTCCTTCCATAGGCTCACTGAGAGAGCTGCATGAACTGATTCTTTTTATGGGAGGGCCAAGAGAGTGAAGTGCTAGAGCCCAGGTTGTTCTTCCATCTCACTCCCACCATCCAAAACAAAAAGAAAGGCAATCCAGATGGATCATCTTGCTCTCTCCCACCCTGAATCCAGTGCCTCTCATGATACTGTCTCTCCTGCCTTTAAATCAAATGGCTATGACCTACTTGCTTGTTCATGGGATATCTTCATCAACTACTGGGGCCCTGTGAACCTGCAGGAAGACATGGTCTCCCCCACCTTTTTGGGACCAGTACCCTGATTCATATTTCACCCTCTCTCTCCCATGCCCTCCTAGAAGCAAAAATGGAGAAGCAGCCTTACACCCAAGGTAAGTTACTGCATGGGACCCTGCATTTTTGAGTGGCCAAAGGCCTAAGTTCTCACCTGTGGCCCCATGTGCACATTTGCTTTCTCTCCTGCTGTCTCTTCCCCCTCTGTCTCCCTCCAGCTCCCATGACAGTTCTGTTTGCATTTTGTCTCAGCTGGGGGATGGGCAGTGTTTTTCATCACTCTCCTGCTTCCCGAGCTCATAGTTAGTATGCATCAATCTTTAGCATGCTTCCTCAGCAGCACTCTTCAGACTTTCCCCAGAGACTGTAAATAGGCTCTTCACAGGCGGATACAGTCTCAGAAGTATATGTCTATTACCATATCAAATCTGTGTTTCCAATTCATTATAAAACTGACTTTTCACTGCATGGGATCAGTTATGCCTGGCAGGCATATCCTGCATTGGGGTGGGACAGAGCTGCATGCCCTGGGGGAACTTGCCCCCCACCCTACCCTGGATCTCACAGGCATGCTTGGATAATGCAGCATGCTCCAGCCTCAGTGCCTGGCCATTTGACCGCCTAGCGTGAAGTGGGCTAGGCCGTGCTGCAAGACGAGGAGGTGCTAGGAGGGATTGCAGTTTTGCTCAACCCCTGCACAGGATACAGAAGCAGGGTCCTTTTACCCTTCCCTCTTCCACCTCCAGACTTGGACAAATAATACTGTGCCCCCATAGCAGCATAACAAAAATGCAAATGGAGCCCTAAATACCTGAAGGTCTAGGAGCTTGACCACATTCACCTAACATAGGACAGGGTTAGAAAAGACAAAAGTAATCCCTGGCAGCATTCAATACCTACTGACTAGAGTGTGCAGTTAAATCTGCCTTGTTTGTTTCTGGAAGTCAACAATAAAACATGATACCACCTAAAAGTAACACCCACCAATTAAGGCAGCTAATGACTGCAGAAATGGAGATCTATAGGATGGAAGTGAGTGCAGACAACCCAAAACCATAGCATGCGTGAGGCTCATTCTGTGTCTTAATGGATATTTCTCATAACTACAGCCCTGAACCTTCAGTGATTTCTGATAAGATGGCCAAAACGGTTCCTTCTAAGGGCTGGATTAAGGCATCAGCTCTTCAGGCCACAGCTTTTCAAGCTGGGTGCCATGGTCAGAATTTCAACTTTCCTATTCTTTCTTAGTAAAAGGAACTCCCTGATCTTTGTGGTTGCAAAGAAAGATTTGAAAGTGTGACCCAAATGAGTGACGCTGTACCGTCTATCTGAGACTGCAGATTGTGTGAAAGAGCTGGGTAGGGAGGTGAGAACTGCCCAACAGGCTATGCTCTGGACTTGCCTGCATTCAGTTTTTACATTTAGGCGGTGGCCCTGGTTTAACAAAATCATTTTTTCTACCAGTTGAGTCAAAGAAGATAACTTGTAGTGTGGAAGATATGTATTGGTGTAATGGTGCTTTTACTGCTATACCTTGTTCCTTTAGAGAAACTGGCTATATGCTTTATAGCTGACTCCCCTTTATCTCAGTGAAAGCAGGGTAAGCTACCTTACATTTACCATATGATAAGAATGTGCAAACAGGTAGTTACCGTGGAGTACCCAACATGCTATAAATTCACACCCTGGCTTATCCCATGGCAATTTCTATGTTTGCCTCCATTAAATGGGTGCGTAGACTGTATGTGGATCAGCCCTTTGCAGAACAGGAGAAGTAAACTGCATAGGGCCTGGCAGAGCTGCTGTTAATACCAGGAGCCTTTTGCTGCTGCCCCTGCCAGTCTGGAAGGGGATGGGGCTGTCATTGCTATTCCAAATGAGATCCAGCGTAATGGCATAGGGTCAGGGGTGCAGGAAGTCCTGGGCTATGTGGCTAGAGCTCCAGAGTGTTTAATTATGCCATGTTCCTTCTGTCACTTCCACCCATTGCTATGAGGGTAACTGTGCAGCTACCATATTCCTTCTGTTCTAGTCCCTAGTACTTGGCTGCTTTCAGGTCTGCCTTGGGCTCAAGAAGCCTGTTAGATGTTAGCCCTAAGATTATGTTCATCAGTCTCGGGGCTGATCATCCCAATACTGTGAAGTGTATTTTGGGATTCCAAAAATAGTGGGGACCAAGTCCTTACGTTCACATGGGCTTCTTACTATTTTTGTTGCTTTTTTCTGCTAAACTGCTTATCTGATACGTGAAACAGAATGGGCTAAAGAGGCAACTCGTGACTTGTGAGCCATTGTCTGCCATTCACACACTTGAAATTTCACGGTAATCAAATGGAGCTGTCATGTTGCATGTCAACTTGGCGTGTTGTGCAATGGCTCCATTTAAACAAAATGTAGTAGTACTCCACTATTAGAGAAAATCTTTCCTGTTTAATTCACATACATCTGTGTACCAAAGAGAGGAACTGGAATCTTAGGTGGTTTCAGCTTTTTTCCCCATTGTGTTTTTTGTATATAGTGTAGATTTTACCATACTTTAATTCAGAGCCTGAAGGTAGCCTCAGATCTATGCCTGAGCTGGGGGAGAAGAAGTGGTTTAATTCAGTCCTGTGGCAAGGAAAATCTTGGGCTATGTTGGCTGTACACCTGTACAAACCCACAGTTGTCTTGTGAAGGGAACTTTTTTGGCCTTGCTTGCAAAAAAATCAGTTTAAAGGAACCAGACTGAGTGATGACAATCTGGCCATTGTTTTCTAGGGCAGCATTTGTACCTCGCCAGAGAAGGATATTTCAGGGTCTGCATCTGTTTTTACACTCCTCGAAGCTTGGTATAGCACTGCCTTTGTGTTTATGCTTATGTTTGACATTTCTGACCTCATGATTTCATTATGATACTATGACAGGATGTCCCAGTATCAATTTGGAAATAAAATTTTTGTTCATTGACTTCAGAGTAACAACCAAATTTGTTGTAGGCCCTTTGTGAATATCTGAACAGATGCTGTTTCTGTACCATCATTCTCAGAGATTTGTGTTCAGGCTGTATGTTCATTAATATGTTTTTTGTATTTCATTTTTCTTTGCAGCCTAAGAGCAGCACACCTCTAAAGACTGATTGCTTGTACAGCATGTATGACGCTGCATTCTTTGTCCTAAGCACCTTTGCGTCAGGCAGATCTAGGACAGATCTTCAGTCAGCATAAACCAGTACTTTTATTGATTTAAAGGGAGATGGGTCGGTTTACACCACCTGGGGACCTGGTTCCTGGTCTCTGCATTTTATTTACATCTGCAATCTGGGTTTATACCTCAGTCTGCATTTGTAACTAAACCTGCTTTTGTTCTTTTGCTGTTGGGTAACGCTTTCCTTGGGCAGCATCATTTTCAGTAGCCCTGAAAATATCTACAGTTCTTTGCCAAGTCAGGTCAGTTCCTTGTAATATCCTTGCTTTGACCCTGGTCACAATTGTAACACATTCCAGGTCCTGTATGTCCACTTGTTATGAATTCATGATGTAGCTTCTGTATGCAGGTCTTCATTTTATTCATTTGGTAGTTTGTGTTGGGGTGGCAGCTAAATGCCCCAGCTCTGTTTTCCTGGATAGTGTATAAACACATAATAAAAAGGCAGCCCCTGCCCCAAAGTTCTGATAGTCTTGCTTGATTAGACACCCAAAAGCCTAAGCTTTACTAATCAAGGATGGATGTAAAAAATGTGGAGCTCTGCTATCTGGGGGTTAGCGCTTCTGAAAGAAACCAACTCTTTTCATTTCCCAAGCAGCTAGGAAAGAAGAGGGTGCTGTCTGTGGACTCTGCTTGGTGACACCAGTCATTTACATTGGCCTCCAGCTAAAAGGTGTCTGGTAAATTTGAGGTATCTCTTTTCTGGCTGCTGGAAGGGAGAAGCATTGTCTACCTCTGTTCCCTACCACTTCTGCCACCACCACCAGATAGAGCCTATTGCAATAAATCTCAGGGCCCCAGATGAGAGCTGCCTCCAATGTGCTGGGATCTGGGAAAAGGCATATTGGCAGAGGGAAGAAGTAGCATATTGAAGGGAGGAAGGGGAGACAGCCATGAGAGGCAAAATGATTGAGCCAGGTCCATGTATCAGGTTATGTCAGAGCCAGAACTGGAACTAAGGCCCTCCGATTCCTAATCCAGTAGCCTGTACAGAGGAGCCAGGGACCTTTATGGATACCTTGACATAGCAAAGCCAGCGAGATAGGCCAGTGGCTTTTTAGATTAATCATAGTTATGCATGTATTACGAGCATCTCCAAAGAACACATTTAAGGATCTGTTTCATATTTGAAAGTCTGTCAGCGGCTGGTTAGAGTAGGATCTCCAGAGATTAACTTTATGAAATTAAATATTTTCAGATGTGCAGCCAGTATTAATAGCAAAAGGAAAGTAAATGCAGGGCATGGTGAATAACACGAGAGGGAGCTCATGACAGGAATTGAGATCTAGCACTCTGGCAGATCTCAGAATTTTTTAGAGGCTTTGAATTAGAATCTAGTTAACTTAATTACTTTATTCAGAATACAACAGGGAAAAGTCATTGCGCCATGCAGCACACACACTGCGCATGCAGGTTTCCCCTTGGGATTTAACTTTTATGGCTCCTTTGTTCCTATGGGTTTATTGCTTGCATGTTTGCCTTATACCAGCCCTGTTCCCCTCGCTCCTTCCTCATCTCCCTTCTCCTCCTCTCTGCTCTTCCCTTCTGCTTTTGTGTTCAAATTTCTCTTTCCTTCTTACACACCTCTATTTTGTTAAAGTAGTTGCACACTGAGATCTCTTGATCATCTTGTAGGTATGTAATTGTGGATTTGACATCCCAATGTTTGGCACCTAGGAGCAGAGCAGATCTTCAGCT